GGTGGGAAAGCTTTCAATACCTGTGCGTCGCCAAGTGTCTGACCAGAGCGCTCTCCAATGCGAATCTTTTGCCGCAGGCGACCGCCGTGCAAACGAAAGGTCTCATGTGTATGTGCTCGTGTGCGAGCAGATGAGCGTTTTGTTTGAAGGCTTTGCCGCAGAAGGAGCAGCTGAAGGGCTTTTCTCCGGTGTGGGTTCTCACGTGTCGGACCAAATGGGACTTGCGCGAGAAGGCCTTGCCGCAAAAGGAGCAGGCAAAGGGTTTTTCTCCAGTGTGGATTCGCACGTGGATCACCATTTGCGACTTGCGCGAGAAGGCCTTGCCGCAAAACGAGCAACCGAAGGACTTTTCTCCCGTGTGTTTTCTCCCGTGCGCCACCATGTGGGACCTTTGAATGAATTTTTCACCGCAAACCGCGCAACCGAAGGGCTTTTCCCCGGTGTGTATTCGCATGTGCGTGACCAAATTGGCCTTGTGCGAGAACATTTTGTCGCAGAAAGAGCAACCAAAGGGTTTTTCTCCCGTGTGTTTTCGCATGTGTATGACCAAATGCGACTTAAAGGAGAATTTGTCGTCGCACAACGAGCAACGGAAAGGTTTTTCTTCCTTGTGGGTACTCTCGTGCTCGATCAGAAGTCTCTTTTGAGCAAACCTTTGGCCACAAATTGAACAGCTGAAACATTTTTCACGCGTGTGACATCTCATCCGTTTCGGGGAGGCTTTGTTCTTCAGCGTCGCGTCCGCCTCAGAACATTTCCGCCGTTTGTCATCACCTTCATAGTCTGAGTCGCTTCTCCGAGGTTCTTCCAAGTCACGACTGTCTGACGGCGGAGCCGAGAGGTTGTCCGGTGGGGGTCCTCCAAAGTGTTCTCCGCTCGGACCCTCACGTTGAAGCGGCGAGCACTCGGGCAGTTCGTCTTTGAACGTTTGCCTCGCCAACGAGACACCGGCGGGTGCAAACTTGCTGATGTCAGTCTCCTCTTTTTCCTGCTTCACGTGGGCTTGCTTGGCATCTGCGTCTTTTGTGTGGGAGGGCTGCGCATCCTCCTCTCGCTCCTTCGCGTGGGGGGGCTGCGGAAGCGCTTGCTCCAAACTGTAGCTCCGCCCCTGCGGCTGAGAGCAACATCCAACCTGAGGAGCGATGGACTGCTCGGCACCTGTGGGACACGCATCACAAGTTGATTGTGTTCCTACAACTATTGCCATGGGGCCAAAAAATGTTTTCCTAATTTAAATTAAATAAATAAATAAAACGACTGGACCTTGTCGCCGTTTGATAGAGAAATAAACTGATCGCAGCGATCACGCGAACCAGTGCTCGCGCGCCCTTAACAAGGACGTCCTTGAACGTCTTAAGTCTTTTTTTTATGCGATGCAATCTGTGAATGAGAAGAAGCCGTTTGCAT